TTTTCTCGATTTTTAGATATTATTTTTTAATTTTTTTATACTATAATATCTTTTGATTTATCTTTTCTAATTATCTAGTATTTTTTTATTTTGATTTTAATTTTGGATGGCTGGGATTAAAAGATGAAGAATCCCACTGTGGAAGGGAACTCAATCAGAAGAGTCCAATTGGATTCAAAGATTGAATCCCCGTCCAAAGAGGAATTGGGATTGATCAGGAACTCTTGATCAACCCCTATAAAAGGCACCTCCTGGAACAGATGCAAACACACACAGAAAATAGTAAGCAAAGCTACTGATTTGAGAGAAAAGGAGGCGTATAGGAAGCTAAGAAAAGTTTAGGAGTGTTCTGGGAGTGAGAAAAATTTTTTAAAAATTTTTGGCGAAAAATTTTTTTGGAAATTTCTGGGAAATTTCCAGATTCCGACGAAAATTTCAACGATAGTTGAATTTTCCGACCAAATTTTCGGCAATTTTGAAGTTTTCGGCGAGGTACCCAGTTTTCGACAAGGAATCCAGAAACCGACCAACTTTTCGGCCAACTTTCGACGAACATCCGGTGAAATTTCCAGATTCCAGCGACATTTTTCAGAATTCGACACCGATGTTCTTCAGCTTTTAGAGAGAAGGCAGAGAAAAAAGAAAGAAGAGAGAGAGAGAGGAGGAGCGGTCTGTCGAAAAATGAAGGAAACTGCCTTTTATACCATCCCAAAACGACGTCGTTTTGGCTTTAAGTTAATCAGAGGATCCGCGCGTTTTGCCGAAACCCGACCCGACCCGAACGTCGACCCGATTCTGACCCGCGCATGTCTACCCTCCTCCAAGCCGAGCCGAGCCGAGTCTCGAGCTGCCAAGCCGCTCTCCCGAGCCATTTTTCTTCCTTGAGCCGAGCCGAGCCGATAGCTGAGCCGCTCCAGGTTTTTTTTTTTTTGGTTTATTTATTTATTTATTTATTAGATTAGATTTATTTAATATTTTTTTTATCTTTATTTTATTTTTTTTTATTATTTTATTTTTATTTATTTTCACTTTTATTTTTTTATTTTATTATTCTATTTTCTTTAAATAAAAATCAAAATTTTCAAAAAAAATATTTTTAGGGAAAAGTTGAAAGTATCAATTTTCCTTAGAAATAAATTTTTCAAAAAAATATTTTTGGGGAAAAGTTGAAAGTATCAATTTTCCTTAGAAATAAATTTTCAAAAAAAAAAATATTTTTGAGGAAAAGTTAAAAGTATCAATTTTCCTTAAGAATAAATTTCCAAAAAATATTTTTAGGGAAAAGTTGAAAGTATCAATTTTCCTTAAAATAAATTTCCAAAAAAATATATTTTTGGGAAAAAGTTGAAAGTATTTAATTTTTTCTACACAAAAACGATCATTATTTCCTTCCTTTCTATTCTGATTTCTATTTTGATTTTGATTTTGATTTGTCTTTAAACAATCCGACGACGGAGCCTCTGCAAGTGAAACAGTAGTTTTTCTTGCATACTCTTGAGGTGAGGGAATTTTCTCAATTTTTGCTAAAAGTATTAGAGTCAATTGAGAATAATTTTCAATAATTAATTACTTGGTAAAATTTTAAGGCTTTTGGATAACACAAATTTAAGCTGGTACCATCTTTTGATTGACATTGTGAGGGTGCTATAACCTTCCTCACACGTAACCGAACTCCCGAACTCTGTTCTGGTTAGCAGACCTGAACCTATTCTTTTAGGGACCCTTAAACTTAGGTGTCCCCTGAAAGGACAGATTCTTTAGGTGGCCAATCGCACCTAGATAAAAAAAGATTGGTGGCGACTCCCTAAAAGCTAATGTCTAGCGATAGATCCCCAGATCTAGACGTTATGACAAAACTAATTAAAATAAATTGAGAAAATACATATTTTTTAAATTCATATTGCATTTTTTTATTAATGAATGTTTTTCAAATTTAAGCAAAGGAAATAAAAAAAAAAAGAAATAGATTGTAATTGAATATAATTCTTCAACTTTATTAGGAAAGTGGATATGTTCTTTTGTTGGATAAGAGGATAGATTTATGATTTTATGCATAATTTTTTAAGTATAGATTAAAATATTAATATATTAAAAATTTTATTTAATTTCAAATCTAAAATATATTTAATGTTATAAAAAAATTTTAATATTTTAATAATAAATATAAATTGAATAGGTGGTTTGAAGCATACTTGAAACAGAATCTAAAATTTATTAATGTCAATGATTGGACACCACCAAAATCATGGATATTTCTTAATTTTTTAACAGTTCTTAATTTTTTAAATTCATATTGAGTGATTAAAAAAATATCAAGTGCTTAATAAATGAGATTTGATTTGAAAAAAAATAAAAAAAAAAGAAGGAAATCATATTTGATTTGAAAAAAAAAAAAAAAAAAAAGGAAATCAACAGTTTATCCCTTTTTTTATATAAATAAAAAGAACGTTATGACTTTGAAAAGAAAGAAGTATAGAAGATTATTAACTTTTATACAACGTAACAATTGGTGGACCTTTTATATTTTATAGAATATGATTTCAAAATATTTTAATTAGTTATTGTTATTTGTAACAACATTCTGACATAAATAGTTGGTTTAAATCATTGTAATCAAATTGATTAATAATTCAACTTTTTTTTGCATATTATAAGAAAGCTAAATTAAAAAATATATATTTGATTGAGTAAGGAGTCAAAGATAAAGATAAAAGGCTTATGCACAACACCTACAAAAGATAAGAATAAACGTTTATGTAACTTTACATCTTATAATATAAGAAAAAAAAAAGCTAGTTGAAAGAATAACATATTACATGATTGAGTGAAGAGTAAAAAATAAAGATAAAAGGCCTGCAAACATCACCAATAAAAATATAAGAATACATGTGTTTTTGTAACTTTGTACATTGCAATATATGAAAAAAAATATCAAAGTTAAACACGGAGAGCTTACCAAAACCATCTAAAAAGGAAAAAATAAATGTTTCTATAATTTCCACTTTGTAATATAAAAAGAAAAGAAGGAACACATAAAATTGAAGAACAATGACAAAAAAAAAATCAAATTGATGTTAAGGAATCATTTATAAATTATGAAGAGATTAAATTTAGTCTTTTTAAATAATAAAATATTATCATGAAATCTATTAAGATAAAATTGCATTTGATATTTTTAATTTTTAAAAGATATATATCTAAATTATTAAAAAATATATTATTGCCTTGATTATTGTAAAATAAAAATAAGTAGTGATATTTATAATGAAATTTTGATGACTATTTTAAAAACAAATTATTTAATTTCTACATTTGTTTTGACCATTCTTGAGGTCATTTTTTGTTTTTTGGTTCAATAATCTATTTCCAATGTTCATCTAATTTCCTTTTGTTTTCATAACTCAAAAAGAATTCATGTATAATCTTAATAGCTTATGTATATACTTTGATTTAAATTAATAAAAAAATATCTTTAATTAAATCTTATTTTGTGCGGTTGTAATTCAACTCAATTTATATTTATTTTATTTGATTGGTTTATCTATTACTATTTTTTAGTATGAATAAACATTATGTTGAAAATATTTGACTATATTTATAATTTTTACTTGTAATACAACATTTAAGATTTATCTAAAGGTATATTTGATAGATAAAGATACTTTTTTTTAGTTGCAAGAAAATTTTTGAATAATTAAAAAATTTTCAAATAAATATATCTTAGAAAGATTTGGATAACTAATGATTTTTAAAATACATTTATTTAATCCAAATTAAAAAATAAGAATTAATTTTACTTATTTAATTAAAATCTTACAAAAATAATAATTTTAGCTACTTAATTATTTTAAATTTAAATTGGTTTTTCATTTAAATTTTGGAAATTCAATAGTTTTTGAAATATATATTTTTTCGATAAATAGTCTAAAATTAGGAAATATACTATAAGCTGTCCATGTAAACATCCATATCAACAAATCTTATCTGATAACCATTTATGTTGTAATAGAATATATATATATATATATATATTATGATTACAACTAAATTGTTAGATAAATTGAATGTTTGTTAGGTTATTACCTTGTTAGATGAATTAAGTTGCTAAATTTAGTGATTTAGTTATTTAATCTTTAAACAAAATAGTATTTTTGTACTGTTATTTTGTAACTTGAATACAAGTAGCAATGTTAATTTTATTCGTATTTAATGGAAAACTCCCTTTTTTACCCGAATGGAGATGGTTATTAAATTTGAGATAGAGATAGATATAATTTAAATTTTTTTTTTTCAAGTATGGAGATGAATAATATAACACTAGTCTCATACCTATATCTATACTCTCTCTATATATTTTTATATATATTTAGTAAATAAATTTTTTATTAAATAGTATGAATTGTATTTTAGATTAATTATAATTAACATATTTTTATTTAAAAAATATATTAATATATATTTATAAAAAATTGTATAAATGTGTAAGATAAAAATAAAAAAAAAGTTTAAAAATAAAATTTATTTTTTATTATATTTTTTAAAAAGCTACAGGATTATTTGTAATCATTAAATACATGCAAAAATAGAAATAATAAAATATTTAAAATATTCGTTGAATATAAATATGAAAATAAATATAATATAAAAATTCATATGTGAAGATAGAGAATACCCAATTCGTGCTCTATCTTATCCACTGATATTCCTAAATATAATTATAATATTTTAACTTTTTTGTAAAAAAAAAAAATTTATTTTTATTATTTTAACTAAACGAAAGATACTTTAAAAAAATACATATTGGAAGAACTAAATTTAATTAAAAAAATTAATCATCTTGATAATACTCAAAAATATATAAAGTAAACTCATATTCAAATTGATTTTAAAAAATCTATTCACATATTTAGGATTTGGTAGTAAATTGTTGAAATATATTAATAGTTTATTGATCCCATCCGCCATAGCCAGATTTCCATAACTTATGCTACCAAGGCAACCAAGGTGAAGCAAGAAAGATCATTCAGTGGACTCATTGGTTGTCTTTGAACCGGGAAAAAGTGCTTTCTTTTCTTAAAATCAGGTCATGGAATACATCGCATTTAAGTCGAAATCTCGTGCTAAAACAGACAAATGATGTATTTTAGAATCACGTTTTTTACATTACCCTCTCGAGTAGAAAACTCGTGCTAAAACAAACAAAAATTCTTCTCCATCTCCAGGCTCTATCGCAACAACTTTTACCTCGCTTTGGCAAATTCAGAAAAGCCATGATAATAATAACAATAATTATATACACTTAACCAATTAATTTTCATTTCTGCCAACAAAATTATGTTTCTCTTGATCATCTTCACACAACTTCCACGGCAGTGTAATGCAAGCCAGGCAATTTCTCTAGCAGATCGAAGGTTAACATTGAAGCCTTGGGCTTTTGTGGCCGGTCCGAATATCCCACGGGCAATGGTGCCGGCGTTGCTCTCTCGTATGTTCCTAGCCACTTCGCTTGCATGTACTTGTGCTTTCTCCATGGAGCCAAGTGCATTTTTTTCTCTTTCATGCTTTTTTTTGCTGCACCACATAAAATCTTGATCAATGCTTTTAGCCTTTCTGCTTTGATAACCAATAGTTCCGGTATCTGGGCGATTAACTTGTTATAATCTTCGTTGGCCCTCGCCATTTCGAATTCAGCTCGGAAATTCAACTCGATGATGACCCTAACTTCTCCCTTTTTGGGGTTTGATTTATCCAACACTTCTATATACGTGTGCTCCCCTGAGGGAATTTCAGAGGAGCTCCTCCACTTTGACTTGCATATGTAACAATTGAGACCTACGTTTTGGAGACGAATCGAGAGTGCTGTTTGCAAACAGTTCCGGCAACCTCCAGCCACCGGTCTCCTACAAGCGCATTGCATTCCTATCACTTTTAATTCGCTTAATGCTTCTTTTGTAGCTTGTCGAATTCTTGATTCTAGAGAAGTAGTTCGGTGCAATGTTGCCTAGATGAACATTAATCACAAAAATGTTAATAACCCATACAATCTTTTTATGCTTTTATGCTTAATTGTTAGACGAAATTTACCTGAAGGAGCTCTTCTTGCGCCTCCCAGAAAATCTTGTTTTGTTCATCCTCATCGCCGTTAGCACTTTCATCACGGTCAACAAAGTCCCTTAAACTTTCCTCTGACTCATTGCTTCCGTCAAAGAACCCAAACATCATGTCGGCAAAACTCGCCGCTCCATCAAGGAACTTGTCGATTTCCTCAGAATTCTGTCGTGCCACCGGAATCTTTTCCATCTCTCCGTCCAACGGAATACTTGTTGGTTTCCCTTGTAGGAAATTTGCAAGTATTAAGTTGTTGCGAGTTTTGGTTCCCAAAATCGAGACCAAATTTATACAGCAAGTAGCAAAGATATTGGGTCCTACGTGGGACCGATACGTCCCAGGTGGGCGAACGAACCGCCACGGACAAAGGGAGTAGGAAGAGGTGTAATCGAGGCAAGCGGAATTGACATGGTAAAAAATTTGAGTTAGAGTTTAATTTTTAATTCGAAGTATAATATTTAGTTTGAATTTATTTGATTAAATATGTTTAATATATTAATATAAATTTAATTTTTATATTTGATAAAAATTTAATTATTTGTATTCGAATTTAAATTCGAATTCGAAATATTTTATATATTAAAATAATAAAAAAATTTTAAATATAAAAATTTTATTAAATTCGTAAATTATTTGAATTGGATATAAAAATATTTAAATTTAATTCGATCAAAAAATTAAATTATTTGAACTCAAATTTGATTAAATAATAAAATCGAATTTAAATTTTATTTAAATTAAATTTAAATAATTTATAAATATTAATATATTATTTATATCTTTAAACGGATGCGATTATTGGATAAGGAGTAAATTCATTTCGCTGGATAGAAGATTAGACAGCTGCGATCCACGTCAGAGTTACCAATAATTCAAGGGCAGGGAGAAGCGGTGTGGATATGCTTTGCTTGGAGATATTCTTATCTTGATGTTTTATTTTGATTATTAGTTTTTTATCACCACTGATTATTTATTGTTTCTTAATAATGATTAGAGCTGGAAATTGTTGTTGCGTTATCCTAATCTTAGCGGGTGGTGGGACCATGAAATGGAAATCAAGATATAGCAAGAAATTACCACGTGGCAATTAGAAATTACGATTACACGTGGTTTTGTCTGGGATGTTGATGGGAAAGCTTATCCATTTTGGTGGGACGGAGGGCCTCGTTTAGTTGCTAGGATATTCGAACAGCCCAAGTCGGTTCCTAAGGTACAAACGAATGTAAGAATAATCAAGGATGAATATTCCAGTTTCCAAGTTAAGGCTTGGTTTCTGTGGACATAAATGTCCCCCAATAATGGGCTAGTAAAATACTGTCTAATTTTCCAAAAAAAAAAAAAAACTGTTTCTAATTTGAACTTTTTTTTTAATTCATATATAATATTTGATTTTGAACTAAAATTTAAAAAATTTAAGATTTTAAAACAAAATTAAAAAAATCTTAAGTTGAATTTTGACTTTTATTTATTGTAATTTTCTATAAAATTATTCTTGATTTAAAGAAAAAAGTGATTATAATTAAAGGTAATAAAAATGAGAATTTTTTAAAAATTTCAAATAAGATGTTATTTCTAGATAATTAAAAAAATTAAAAAATAATTTAACAATTTTGATTTAAAAGTCTAAAAGAAATAAAAATTATACTAAAGTAAATTTATTATAGTATTATATAAAGATTTAACAATAATATATATATTTCTCAAAGGAATTTGATATAAAGTTCATAAAAACTATTTTTCAAAATTTATTCATAGAAAAATGCTTGATCGCATAAAAAATCGTAATATATTAAAAATAAAACATCAAATCAAAAATCAAACAATAACAGGAAGAAAAGAGTAACTTCCTCAAAGAATAGTTAAAGGACTAAAGGGCTTTATTGTCATTTGAGGAGGAGCACGGACAACCACCAAACAATGGGCTCGAAGTGGTTTTCTGAAACAGCTCGAACGGAAAAAATAATTATTCATTTTTTTGTCTTTTTAAGGTAGGTGGGTTAAAAATTAAAAGTTTAATGGTTAAAATTAAAAATTATTTTATATCCAAAATTATAAAAATTTAAATATATTAAAAGTAAAATATATCATTGATCATTTAATAATGATTTTTTAAAATAAAATTTAAATTATTAAAAAATTTAATTTAATTACTAAAATTTATATAAAATTTTGTTATCATCGAATTATTAATTTTTAACTGTTTATTAATATGTAATTTCATGTCAACAATCGGAACCACCTGATAATGTTATGTCATTTGATATTGACACACGAAATTATTAATAACATATTATAAATTTTATAATATAAATTTTATTAAAATGATTATGTCACATTACATTTGATAATTAATATGACATGGTCTCATTAATATTTTGTTAAAAAAATAATAATTTGAAAAAAAAAAAAACTCATGTAAATTTTAGTTATTAAATTAAAATTTTAAATAATTTAAATATTATTTTAAAAATACGATCTATAATTAAATAACTAATAATGTAATTTACCTAAAAAAATTATACTACTTTTCACAAAAACGGATTTTATTGGTTGCTAAGTCACACTGATGCTAACAAAAACTAGATATTATTGGTTGATGATGGTTAAGTAAATTAGGAGACTTCAAATTCATCTGTTGAACAAGTCAGTATTGTACTGCATACCACCACACGTTACTAGGGAAGGTAAAAAAATTCGTATCCGACGGTTGATCTGATTTTTTAAGGTCGATTTTTTTTTTTGAAAATCGGAGGGTCGGGTCGGGTTGGGTAGCATGAAGATAAAATCGGGATCGGGTTTTAGGTAAATTCGACCCTACCTGACCCGATATATATATAAAAATAAATTTTTTAATTAATTTTTTAATTATATATATTTATATAATGATATTTTTAAATATTTATATTTAAAAAATAATATTTTATTAATTTCGGGTCGGATACGATTTATATAATGTCGGATCGGGTTCGGGTTCAGATATGAAAAAACAAAAAAATTTTCGGATAGGATCGAGTTCGAGTTTTTTAAGCATTAAGTCGAGTCGGGTTTGGGGCGAGCAAAACCCGCCCCAAACCCGACCCAATGTCAACACTACACGTTACCCACTTTATTTTATAAATATTGTTTTATTGTGTATTTTTAATTGTCAAGTTATTTAACTATCATTTTATTTTATTTAAATATATTATTAATTAAAATATAAATAATAATTTTTAAAAACTTCTAATGAAAAAATTTTTAAATATATTTTTATAAAAAATAATTTAATAGAATATTTAAGATATCGATGGCCCAGGCTAAAAAAATTTGACTGTAAAAAATTAAATTCAAACATTATTTATGAGAGTAATTATTATGTTATATAGTCTACCTAAAATTCTGTGACAAATTTCTATTCTAAAGTTAGCAATTATTTTTTATATTCTTGCTTCTCTTCATCTTCCAGGACAAAAAAAAAAAAAAAAATCCATCCAACTTGCTGTAAACTAATTTATCTAGCATATTCAACATGTCTTAATTACTTGGAGAAAAACAAATTGACAATATTGACTAACACATTTGAAACATCTTTCTTGTTCGAATTGCCCCTTTTTCCGTTGCTGCTTTCGTTCTCAACTTCCCGGAATACAGATGTCTTCGGAAAAATCATTACAAACTACGACAATCTTCTAGCACCCACATTATTTATAGATCTTTTTATTTGTTTTATAAAATATCTGAAGTAATCTATCAAAATTAATGGAAAATAATTTTATATTAATTAAAATTTGATTTTTATGTGAAATACTTTAATTTTAAATTTTTTAATACATCAAATTAATATAAAAATATATATTTTTGAAATCAAATTTGTAATTTAATTCAATTAATTTATATATCACTTTTAAAATATAACATTTAGTAAATTTAAAATTTAAAATTTCACATTTAAAATTTTTATTTTTAATTACGATCTTTATACACTTAAAAATTATATATATTTAAAATCGCATGAAAAAAATTTTCATCATATTAAAATCTGAAAATAAATATTATCAGAAAAAATATCTAGATCAATTTCAAATCTTTGTTAGCTGAAAGAAAAAATCTAGCACTAAAAGCAATCCTTTGATTGATCACCATATTGATTTTTCAGTATCTAGCTCCTTTGATTAATTACGAAATTGATTTTTCAGTACCCACTTAGTAAACAATAATCATGCTCTATGATTTTTCAGTAATTCTTTGTGCTTTTCCTTCCTTTTTTTTCTTTTTTTTTTTTTGCTGTTTCTATCTTTTTCCGCTTTTTGTTTCTTTACAATCCGAAAACAGTTAAACCAAAATTTTCCTACTTTTTGCCGGCCACATCGTTAAGCTAGTAATGGGGGGGGGGGGGGTTGCATGGTGTAGTGCTAAGGCGGATAACGATAAAAAAAGAGTTGATTAATGAACACTATTTTTATTTTTCAAAAATTGAAATTAATTGATTATTCGAATTTCGGACTAAGTTAATTCATTAATTTTTTAAATTTACATAAATATATTTTTTAATATTATTTTTAATAATTATATTTATTTTATAAAATAATTAAAATTTAATAAAAAAATATGATTCTATTCTAATCATTTGGATTTTTACATTATAAACTGAACATCAAGTCGAATCGAATAAACATTATGATCCGTAAGGAATATGACAAAACTTAAACCGAGCACTACGTTAAATTTCTTAATTTTTTTTTCGTTGAATCCCATGTACCGTGTATATTGGCCTGCAAAAAAGGACAAACTAAGATGAATGGTGCTGTCATCGTGACCGAAAAGCGTGATGCTGAATTCGAAATGACAAATACCTAAAAGAGAATAGCTTAACCTGCTCCTACTGATCAGAAAAGACTGCTGATATTTTCTATACCGGACTAGTAAATTAAAATCTCTCCCCTGATAACAAATTTTTTTTTTTTTTTCATTTCGATTATACAAATTGAAAAGAAATTGCAACGATCGTTGTATCAAAAATCAAATTTTAAAGTGGAACTCTGCCTAACTCCATGAGTGAGAGTGAGAGTGAGAGTGAGAGTGAGAGTGAGAGTGATACTCTCAAGCGAGCTACGACAAAAATTTTAAACTAGGCAGGGCCACCTATGTGGAGACTAACGAGGACTTAGGTTCCATTTATGGTTGCTGTGGCTTTACTCAGGGCCACATCACGGGTAAAATCTGATTCGGTTTGGTTGGAGCTTCCTATCGCGGGAAGAAAAAAATTAAAAAAATTATTTAAAAATTGTAATATTTAATTTAATTTAATTTTTTTATTTAATTCAGATTAAGTTTAAATATTATATATATTATATTCATATATGATTT